CTGGCTCCCTCTTCCTCTTATACAATTTTATGTTCTTTCTCTCCTACTTCCACCCCTGCCCTGTCTACATATTTTATGTCTAATTTTACACAGCCAGATATTTTTTCTTTTTMTTTTTATTTTTTGTGCATTACAATTATACATAATAGTGGAATTTGTTGTTACATATTTGAATATGCACAAAATATAACAATATAATTTGGTCAATTTCATTTCCAGTGCCTCTCTTCTTCTTCTCCCTCCCCCTGTCCCCTTCTTCTACTCTACTGGTCTCTCTGAGATTCCCCCATCATTTTTTCTTCTCCAGCTTCCACATATGAGAGAAAACATAAGACTCTTGACTTTCTGAGTTTGACTAATTTTGCTTAAGATAATGCTTTCAAGTTCCACCTATTTTCCTGCAAATGCAATAATTTCATTTTTCTTTATGGCTGAGTAAAACTCCATTGTGTATATGTTCCACATTCTTTATCCATCATCTGTTGATGGACAACTGGGCTGGTCCCATAACTTGGCTATTATAAATTGTGCAGCTATACACATGGGTATGCATGTGTTACTATAGTGTGCTGACTTTTAATTATATTGTGTCATATGGTAATTCTTAGTCTTTTGAGGAACCTCCATATTGATTTCCACGGTGGTTGTACTAATTTAATTTACAATCTCACCAACAGTATAAAACTATTCCTTTTTCCCCACATCCTTTCCAGTGTTTATTATATTTTGCTCTGAGTAATTACACTGCCAATTTTAAGTCACCATCYTTAAAAGAAATATCCTAGTGCTCTCAAGTCATGGCAGCAGCAGTCTACCTCCCAGAGGTGAAAGGAAGAAGTCATGTTCCAACTTGAGAGACAGTGCCACTTACTTTGCACCCAGAGTCAGCTACCAAAAGCACTCAGCTGAAGCACCCTCTCTATTCCTGTTCTGGGCAGAGTGGCAGGTTAAAATCCAGGTAGGAATAATTTAGAAGGTACATTGAACTTGAAGTGGTGATGGGACATCCAAGGATGTGCAGGAATTTAAACTCAAGGAGATCAAGACAAGGAAAAAAGAATCTGAATGGCATTGAGACTCAGGTGGGAAAAGACAGGGTGGTGGCATGAACCCAGGGCCTCTGCCTTGGAAGTTCATTTAGCTACACCTCATGGCACAAGGTTGGAGTAGTCCACCTTTTATGGATGATTAGAGGGGTGAGGTGAGAGGGAACCAATAGCCAAGGAAAAGAGAATTACAAGGAGGGGACTGCTTGAACTAAGGTCTCAGAATCATAAGTTTGGATGTAAATTGAGAAAATATCACTGAAATTCAAGTTTAGGATTGTCAATCTAAATTTTAAAAATCATATTTTCCCCCAAATACTGATATTTATTTGGGAATAGCACTGCATTGGGATTGTGCATGCCAGCAAACTATGGGTGTATTCAAGGAGGTTGAGACAAGGGGAAGTTTTTGAAGTTTTCAAAAATGAAGATTACATCAGATATTTTGAAACATTGTTTCTTGGCTATAGTGGCAAATAACTTGAGTAACATCAGTTCAAGGTTAAATAGACAATTGCTTGGTAGATGTCCTTGTAGAAGTATTTTTGGGGTCTGGCAGAGTCTTCTGTGAGTTATTATCAGGTAATTGTGTGTAAAAACCCTTACTTCATAAATTTCCAGCCTTACTTACAATTTTTTTCTTAAGCTAATATTACTCAGGGGTCTGGGGGTATAGCTCTGTTGGTACAGCAAAGGCATAAAGCTGTTCATTCCCTAACACCACACACACACATACACACACACACACATACAAACACACACACACACACACATATACAAACACACATACACAAGCTATATTACTAAATAGTGGGTTCCTGCCTTTAAGTTGCTCAATAAACCTGTAGGAAAAACAAGTACCTAAATAACTATAGTAAAAGTTACTATATGATCAGTATTCCACATTGGCATAAAATGCTATTTTTCTTCATCTATGTGGCCATATATCCACTTAATCAGTCTTTCTATCCATCTATCCATTCACCCACTCATTTATCAAGGGCAAGGAATGGTGTGGAGAGAGATGACATTTTGTGGCAAGGAAGCCATGGGTCTGGGATAACAGACATCCAAATCTGAATCCCAGGTCTAGATTTACCCCACTGTGACTTTGGACAGTTATTTAATTTTTCTAYATTTTGTTTCCTACATTATCCCATGAGATTGTGCAGAAATGTCCAATGCAGGAGGGTCAAGGACTAGAGGTTAAAGAAYGGGTGTGGCAGTGAGTAGCTTACAGAGAGCAGCAGGACAAGGTTGATGCCTAGATTTGTGATTTCAGGTGCTGAAATCTGAATTCCAACGAAGTGCAGAGAGTGGTCACAGGGTAGGTGGCAAAAGGGAAGGTCATTAGACATGGTCAGGTCAAGGAACTGAGGGACTTCAGTGTTGGATGTCCATTTACATAGTCTTGTACTTAGGATAATGGAAAGACATGGGGTAAGGAAAAACCTGTGATCCTTGTACCCAAGTCCTCAATGAATTAAAGGAGACAGGTGTGTGAAGGGTAGCAAAGAAGAGCCAGAGTAGACAACCAGAGATCTTTCAGACAGATATTCTTACTCTGAGTCTGAGAAATAATGGTCAGGAGGTGGGGGTATGGAGTGAGGAAGGTACCCACCCCACCTGTGACCTTGAAATTTTAGGGAGTCATCTCCTTTGAGAAGAAAGCCAAGGAACTATGACTTGAGAAAGTGACTTTTTGGTATCAACCTAAAAGAAAATCTGTTTAAACATTTGGGCACCAAATATGTGGATTTATTTTTCTCACACCAACTAATTTTACAATTCTCTGACATAACTAAATGTCCTTAATTCTGACACTATTGGTGGTTAATACAGATACCACAGGTTAAGGGCTTGTCCCAGAAGACTGCCTCTTGCTTCAGATGCACATCATAAGTAKTGGGTCCCCAGGTTACCCACACTTATGGCTGACTTGGCTACAAATTGGAATTCTCCATGACCCTATCCTTAAGTTTAACAATTTGCTATAATCATGCACAGAACTCAGAAACACACTTTAATTGCTATTACTGATTTGGTGCAAAGAAGTCACGAACAGCCAGATGAAGAGGTACATAGGGTAAGTAAGCTCCAGAAGGGAAGAGCACAGGATCTTGTGTCCCCGATGAGTTGTATCCCCGCTGAATTTGGTGAGCACCATTTTCCCAGCATGTGATGCATTTACCATCCTGGAAGTTCTTTGAACCCTTTTGTTGAGACTTTCATGAATATTCCAATATGTAAGTATAATTGACCAAATTATTGGCCATTGGTGATTACTCAGTTCCCAGGACCCTCTCTTCTTTCTCGAGGTAGGAGGTAGAGCTATAAGTTCCAACTCTCTAACCATAATTGGCTTTTCTAGTAACTGGCCCCATATTTTAAGAGCCACCTCTTTGGCATAAAAATCAGGTTTGGTTGAAAGGGTCCTATTGTGAATAGCAAAATATACACCAGTCACTTCTATCACTCAGGAAACTACAAGGGTTTGAGGAGTTGTCTTCCAGAACCAGGGATGAATACCAAAAGTATACTTATCTTATTATAATACCACACAACTCCACATAGCAATCGGTGGCAAAGTAGGATTGAAGGAGGGGGCTATGGATTGAGGTTTTCAAATAAGACTCTTAGATCATTAAAAGCCCCAAGCGGCAATCCTTATTAYTGGCACCAGCTGGTGTCTCTCCCAATGTCAATGCTGAGATCAGTCTGACTGGAAGGTTACTGGAGGACAGTGGGGTGGGCAACTGATGTTCCAGCATCATCCAGCAGTAAGTGTCAAGGTCTCATGACACCTGGATCCTACAGTTCCACAAGCTGGGATTCTGGTGGCTTCCATTCTGAGTTGACTGTCAGTTTCTGTAATATTTGCATTAAAAGCACCAAGACTTTCCTCTTTCCCATGAGCAAACAAGCCACACCCTGCAACAACCGAAGTCCACCTGTTCTTCCAGTTACCCTAGGTCACGGGGACTTTCATTTCCCTGGTAATTCAGTGTTTCTAAGATTGGGTGAGTTGCTCCACCTCTCCCCCAGTTTTACGGACCCATGAGCATATATAATTGGCCTGATTTAAGAAGGAACCATTCACCCGGCCGGCCTTCTCCCCAGATCTGGAGCCTGAGAAAATGACCTGAAATCCAAAAGGAGAAATTGAGGTAGGATTATAAAAGAGCTTTTGCGGGGAAGGAAGTTAGGCAAGATGAGAGTGAACACACCATATTTAAGGGAAGTGGTGTGGCAGAGACTTCCTTTGGGTCATCTTTGGAGATGATTTGAAAAGAAAGAAAAAGATGGCTTCAAACATTACACAAGTCTCTCTTCTGCTTTCTGTCCTGTTTTCTTTCTCTTTCTCTTTCATTGTGGCATCTATAACCGAGGAAAAGATGCTAGTTAGGAAAATGACTTGCTGACAACATGCTGCTATAAATGGTTGGCTGTATCAACGGCAGTACGTTACTGTGGGCGAGAACAGTTTGAACTCCTGCAGAATCCTGGCAACCAACAGCAAATCAGAGAAGACTTTCAACTTGTAAATTATGGTGGTTCTGTTTCTGGCCATGACAATGACAWCCTGGCCATTTAATTTTGAACTGTATAAATATTCACAGAAAGCTCTCAAGAGAAAACGGGGGGGGGAATAAAAGAGTTTTTGAATCACCTGCTTCTTAGAGTTGTATAGAAATAGTGATTTCAAGTGTAGCAGATATAGGGAAACCACAGGATGCATAGCAAAGCTAATGAGGTATTTCTGAAACTCATTCAGAATCATGGTTTAGGTGGCCAGAACTGTCTCCTTTGATGGAAAGGGGGCAAGTGCCTGAAGTTGGAGCCTGAGCTGTGTCCTTTGGGTCCATCCACCTGAGCCCTCTCATCTAGGAGTATCAAGTGTGGCAGGATTCTTCAGAAGACCCAGTGGGAAGCTGGTGGGACAGGTTGGAGACCATGGTCTCCTTACAAGAGGACAGACAGGAGGAGGCTGTCTGCCCCATCTGCCAAGAACACCTGAAGGAGGCTGTGAGCACGGACTGCAAACACCTCTTCTGTCGTGTGTGCCTGGCCCAGCACATGGAGAAGGCCTTGGCCTCTGGGGCTCTCTGCTGTCCCCTCTGCCGGAAGCCCTATTCTGAGGGGGTACTGGGGGAAGGCTACATCTGCCACAAGCACCAGAAGAGGTTTCAGAGGTTCTGTGAGAAGAGCAAATGTCTACTGTGCGTGGAATGCCTGGAGTCCCCTGAACACCAGTCTCATTCTGAGCCGACCATTGAAAATGCCATCAGTCACTACAAGGTAAGGCTGAGCGCCCCTGCCATGGCTCCCTGAGCTATTTGCTTCTGTGCGTGGCACCTTACAGAGAGGATCAATAACTGACACCTTTGTTCCCTCTGCTTCATTCTATTTTATATCCTTGTCTTTGCTTTTCCGTTTATATTTTGCTGCTGATGTTGGACTTTCAAGCTTTAATGTGAGGCTGTCTTAAAGGTGATACTGTCCCTGTAATGGCAGATTTCCAGGAAGCCTGAGCCACTCTTAGTGTGCTCATCTGTAGAATGAAGTTGTACCAGATAATGTAAAGCCTGTTCAGTACTAAGATTATATAATCCCTAGTTGATAGTACTAGAAACTTGGCTAGAAGTGAAATCAAATTTTACCTACGCTAGCAATTATCCTGCAAGTATACTGAAACTTGGATATTAATATATGATTCTCTCTTTTTCTTCCCCTTTTCTTTGTCTTTTCTTCACTTTCTCCTTCTCATCATGATTATTTTTATCTTACTTAATGTTTTATCAGAAAAATTTCAACCTCTTGGTATTAAATTCAGACAACACCAAAAGGTATACCATCAAAACTCAAAATCATTTTTCCTGCCTACCCCCATTGTCAGTCTTAGAGGTAATCATTGTTAGATTTTTGTGTATACTTCCAGAAAATTGTATGTGCAAATGCACTCTTGAAAACACACACACACATACACACGATTTTTTTTTTCCTGTAGCTTGTCTTTATCATCCAAAAAAATATTTTGGACATTTTCCCATTTTTTCCATCAGTACATCCAGATCTTCTGAATTATTTTCAACAATTGTATGGTATTCATTTTTTKAATGTAACATAAATAGACAAACATTGTGTTATTTTCAAGTTATTATTTTGTTTTGAGGTTGTATACAATGTTGTAATGAATATTTTTCAATGTATATTTTGGATAACTTAGAATACCCAAGATATACTTTGGTGAAAGTGTATAGGAATCTAATTATTTTTTCTAAGTTACAATTTGTCCYATCACCATTTATTAAATATTCCATATAGTTCTCCCACTGATTTGAATGCCAACTTTGTAATATGCCATAAATGTATATTTACTTACATATGTTTTTGATTCTATTCTGTTTTATTATTCTCTATATTCCTACTTGTATGCCAAACCATTTTACATATTGTAAATTTGTTCTTTACTTTTAAATGTTTATGCATGCATTATAAATTACAAATATGTATAACATTACAACATAATCCAAAATAAATAGTGATATAGAAAATTTTTATGATAAATAAAACTATGGTTTTAAAGCCATTTTCTGGAAAACCAAAAATGACAACTTTAATATCATACCAAACATAAGTAATGCCAATTCAAATTAAAGAAATATATGCTAGTACCAGTTTCTGATAATAAAAATGGCTTAAGTCCTACTATATGTTCAATTCAGGACAGGTATTTGTAGAAACAAAAGAATATTAAAATCATTTATTTTATAATTAGGCCATGAAGGAAAGAATAATAAGCAGCAGAGTTCTTTTATACCATAAAATTACTTACTCTCACTTATTCAGCTAGAAAACTAGCTTGAGAGGTGCTACGACATTTCATTAATAATTTCTCTACAGCAAATAATTGTTTTACATCTAGAGCACATTTTAAAAAATTTTCTCCTAAATATTTTTGTTGTTGTTGTTGTTCTTTTGAGTCTTAATCACTAATAGTTCAAGGTATTTGGTAAAACTCTGATTTCTTAGAGGGCTTGGTGAGTGAATTAAAACCAAGCAATATGTTTATATTCTGAAAATGTTCTTAAATTCATAAAACATTGCTTGCCTGGTGGAGCTAGATTTCCCCTACAGGTATCATGACATTTGAAGAACACATGTTATAAAATTTCCTACCAATTTTGTCTTGTTCCTTCCTTGTTAGACACTGTGCTTCCTTTTCCATTTTCTCCCTTTGTGGTCCGGCTCCTCTCTTTTCTCTGCTGTCTCAGAACTTCTTGCCAGGCTCCATCTTCTTCCCATGCATTGGTCCCTGCCTCCCTTCCTTCCTTCCTCCTTTCTCTCTCTTTCTCATTTTTTCACTGCTAGGGATGGAACCCAGGGCCTTGGGCATGCTAAACAAGCATTCCACTGCTGATTTTTACCAACAGCCCTGTGTTAGTATTTTCTTGCCAGATATTTAAGTCACCTGATTTAGAATGTTGATGAAGCACAGGCATTTTTGTGTTGGTGCTAATTTACTAGAGAAACCTGTGTTACCATCTGGAATACCAAAATTGAACAATTCTCTCTTCTTAATGATTGTCTAAGTTTTGCTCATAGTTGGCATCATGTTCTTAAAACAGGTTCCTGTTGTTCCAGGGCACTCTGTTGTTGACACATTCCCATTCTCTCCTTCAATCCTTACACAGAAGGTACTTCTTCAATCCAGGAAGTCCACCCTTCAACTCCTGTTTGCTTAGAAACCAATAAATATTCCATATAGTTCTCCCACTGATTTGAATGCCAACTTTGTAATATGCCATAAATGTATATTTACTTCATGTGGTTGGCAAAGTTAAATGGTCTCCATTTAATCTCTGTCCTCTGCTACTCTGTGCATTAATCTCTTTAAGAATAAGTATACTATTGCTAGGCAGATACAAACTATATTTTTATTGTTGGTACTAGGGATTGAATCTGGGGTGCTTAACCACCAGGTCACATCCTCAGACCATTTTTATTTTTTATTGAGATAAGGTCTTGCAAAATTGTGTAAAGACTCTCTAAATTGCTAAGGCTGGCCTGGAACCTGAGATCCTCCTATCTCAGCCTCTGGAATCACTGGGATTATAGGCAAGTTATAAACTTTAAATAACTGAAACTGCATGATGGCCATCATGGGAATCAAAACCTTTCCCTCCCACTTTCCACCTTGTAATATATTTAAATGTCGGRTAGATCTTCAATTTCTCACAACACTCTTATTTTTCAGAATTTTTGTGGATATTCATATGTTTATTTTGTCAATTCCTCTAGAATTATTTTTACCAACCTTTTCCCTCACCCCAATCCAGGTAGTATTGGTACACCATGAATATCTTTCTATTGAAATGATGAAGACTGAGTTTTCTAARTCTTCTTGATTTTTGGAGAATATTGTAATGATATAAAATGAGAGAGAGAGAAAAAAAGATATTCCAGCTTGGGAGTGACTATAGAAAAAAGAGAAATAGCTCAGAAAGTTGAAGAGGCAAAGAGYTCTGCACTCTCCAGGTATGGTGTCCTCAGGAGTGTGGGGARGAGCTTCCCACTGGCTAASGAGCCACAGGCACGAGAGGGAGAAATCTACTCATCTACTAAATGATTTACCCAGGTCTGCACCTTGTATAGAATGTCATGCTAGCTGTTATAGGAAGTACCAGATGATTCATGATCGTTGTCTTCAAATTCRTGTTTAAACAGTAATAGGAATTGCAGAACAAATAAATGTCAACAATATTTATTTATTTAAGGAAAACACAGTGAGTTCTTTCTGAATTTATGTATGATGAGGTATGAGTCTTCACTTAGGAAAACAGACAAATAAGAAATGAAACAAACTACATGATTTTGTGATCTARGAAGAAAACAAACAAGACCCTGAGATGGAGAGTAACACATGACTATGTTAGTGTGGTCTGACGGGGTCTCTTAGGGGAGATGACATTGAAGTTAAGACCTAGAGGAAGAAAAAYGGACCAGTGCAAAGCTGAGGGAAAGGGAATATATGCAGAGACCCAAGTCTGGAAGGTCTCATTATATTTTAAAAATTTATAATCAGAGTTTGAATTGTTAGGATTTATTGATAGGTTAGAATTGGGGTGAGAAAAAAAATCAAAGAATCAAAGATGACCTCATGAGTTTCTGGTTTGAGAAACCAAAGGGATGATGTGACAGATAAGGACTGGGGAGAACAGGTTTGAATGAAATATCAAGAGTTTCATTTGGGACAAGTTGAGTCCAAGTTGAGACACACCATAGTAACGATCTTAGATATGTAATTGGATRTCAACTCTGTATCTCCAAAGAGAGTCTGGGGTTATATTCTCAGAATCTAGAGCARGAATGAAGGTGATATTTATTTATTTGTTATGGTACTTGAACTTGAACCCAGGGGCATGCTACCACTGAGTTACATCCTGGTTCTTTTTTTTTTTTTTTTTGATACTGAGGCTTGAACCCAGGGGTGCGCTCAACAACTGGGCCACATCCCCAGCCCTTTTTAATATTTTATTTAGAGACAGGGTCTTGCTGAGGTGCTAAGTGCTAAGGCTGGCTTTGAACTCACAATCCTCCTGCCTCAGCCTCCTGAGCCACTGGGATTACAGGCATGCACCACCATGCCCAGCTCCCCAGTTCCTTTTATTTTGTATTTTGAGACAGGGTTTCACTAAGTTGCTGAGGATCTTCTAAGTTGCTGAGGCTGGCTTTGAACTTGCAAACCACTTATCTCAGGCTTGAAAATTGCTAGGATTACAGGTGTGTACCAYGGCACCTGGCTTGAATATGATATTTACATCCAAGGGAATTGATGCAATATCCTTAGAAGGGAATCTTGAGAGAAAATCAGTTTCAGGGAAGGTCATGGGAAAGGTGATCACTAGGATGTAGGATAGAGAAGGACCCAGAAAAGGAGACAGGGTGAGTCACAGAAGGACAGGAGAAAAACAGAAAATTGTGTCCCAGTGCTGAGAGAAGAGCTTTTTAAGATATGATGGTAGATTGCATTGAAAGAGACCGAGGGGCCCTTTAGATAGTGGCAGAGAAGAGAAGCCTGGGCTGGGAGAAAGGGACTTCTTCCACTTCTTCCRTAGGGGACAAAAGAAGCTGTCTCTAAACATAAGCAGTTTTTAAGTTTTAGAGACAGCTTGGGTGTTCTGGTTTTTATTTCCTCAATAATATAAGAAGCAGGAACATCAGCAGTGTGGCAGAGGTGGGGATGCAAAAGRTGTGAAAAGAGAGAATAGTTTGGGTGATATAATTCAGGCAAGTGA